GAATGGACTTACTTAAATTGCTTCACAGCTATAAACTATAAGGGGAAAATCATTTGATTCCCTCCTTTTTCACTGATTTTATTCTTTCTGATTTTTCCCATTATATTCCCGGTGAGGCCCCAAAAGGGTGGTGAATTTGCAGGGGGAGAGGAGTTGGAGGTCAGAAGGCAGATCATCAATGGAAAAAATGCTGAGGAAGAATAATTTTCATATTCTTCGTAATCATGAACTAGAAGGACTCTCTGAATTCCAATGACAGAGAAACAACTTAATGTAACTTAGGCAGAAAACAAGAGTGGATGAATAATAAATATATAAATAAATAAAAAAGAGTGGAAGGAGAGGATACAGTCAGGATGCCTGGTTGTTGAGACCTCAGTGTTGGCTCCTCTCTCTCTCTCCCCCCCTCCACTCTCTCTCTCCCCCTCTCCCCCTTTCTCCCCTCCCTGTCTCCTGTTTCTTATGTGTACCTCTTTCTGCTGTTAGATTCATTCCTTCCAACCACAAAGAGGGTTTCTCCAATTGCAGGCTTACATCTTCTCAACCTCAAGTTCCTTTTGTTGTTGTTGCTTTTAGTTCAGTTTAGGAAAAATACAAAAGGGCTAAGGATGGTTCACTGTGGGTCCTAGGCTTATTCCCAGAATGATCACCAACTACAGTAAAGTGTGAGGCAATTAGTTTATTCTGGATTCAGTGTTACCCCCAAGGCCAGATAGCTGGTAGCTGCTACCAGGAAAGTGGAGAAGAGATGTTGGACACACACGTTAAGAATTGTAACAGAAAGCAAGATTGAGGGAATCGCTAAATAGCATTTCTAATGGCAGCTGAGATCTTGGTGGGGTTTTTACACCCTCTAATCTAATTACAAAAATTGTAAAATGGACCTTATATGTCAGCTATGGCTTCTGCTACAAAATACCACAGAATAGGTGGCTTAAACAACAGAAATTTACTCTCTCATACTTCGAGAGGCTGTCAGTCCAAGATGAAAGAGCTGGCAGGGGTTTCCTGAGGTGTCTCTCTCCTTGGCTTGAGATGGATGATTCTCTGTGCATGTTCGTCCTTGGTGCTTCTCCCTCTTCTTGTAAAAACACCAGTCATGTCAGACTCTCAAGACATCAGTTAGCCTTACTTACCTCTTTAAATGTCCTGTCTCCAAATATAGTCACATTGAGGCTTAGGGCTTCCACATACCAGTTTTCCAATGGACACAATTCAGTCCATAACATGGACTAGTCTAGGTTTCAGTAAGGAAATGGACCAGCTGTGGAATGGTATTTGAGTTTTTTCCTCTAAATTGTAAATGAGAAGTCTGAATCAGGGAAGTCGAACCCACTTGAAAAATATATATTTGCCATGCAAGGGTTGAGGGGCTTAAGATCATGTGATTATGACTGATAAGCCTACTGAAGACCAGGTGTAGCAAACAGGCAAGACATTTTCCTAGAATGAGCTGGAAGTTTTGCCTAACAGTAGATTGATTTTATATTCTAGGAAGTGTCTCCCCAAAGAGGGAAGTCCTAGTTTTCAGAGAAGCAAGTGTTTCTGTGCCAAGTTAAGGAATAATCTGTCTCTGATCCTGTCTGATGTATAAATTGGCCGTATATTTTTGGCAGTGCCATCATCCAAGAGCTAAGTTTTAAAAAATGTCTAGGAAAATATAATACTTATCTGCAAATGTGAATGCTAATGAAACCCTCTTGCTGGCTAATTTCCATGAGAGGAAATAGCTGCATATTCAAAATATCTATAGGTGGGCACTTAAAATCATCATTGCCATTAAAAAGCAGTTAATACCAGAGCTTGTGTTTGAACTAAAGTGAAAATTCTGTCTCTATGTTAAGAATATAATAACTGGTAGTCCTCAGTATTTAATAGGAAGAAATGAAATTTGAGGAAACAGAAAGAAAAGCTTTTTTTTTTTTTTTTTTGTTTTAGACATCAGCTAGATCTAGGGAATAATTACTATAGTGATCCATTGAATAGAAACTGCTGTGTTTGTTCACTTGGTGTGTAGTTTATTTATAATCCTCCTACCTATGTACACAGACTACATTTGGGGTGTGTATGTATGTGTGTGGGCAGCAGGGAAAGAACAAGTGAAAGAAAATGAAATCAATGTATGAGGAGCATAATTTAGGAATTTATCTTTTTTTAGTAATAGAGTTCGAAAAGCAAGATAAACCTGATAATGAGTTTTCTTCCTTGTAGCCAGGTTTGTGTAAAAAAGGAAAAGACTTTCTCATATACAAATGCAAATCCATGTACCATGCCCCTTGCAAATATAAGCAAGGATGTGCGCATATGTCCCAAATTAATTCCAAAGCAATTTCAGACCCAGATTTGTGTTAATGCATTTAGCAAGTAATTAGTTGTCCATTCATTCATTAACGGCATATTTTAAAACTTCTTGCAAAGCCCAACCTCCCCCCTCAACAAAGTGGCACTTCTAAGAAGACAGAAGGGATAGAAAATATGTCGGGTAAGATGAGAAAACAAATCAGAGAAAGAAAATTACACGTTAGCTATAGAAGAACATTAGTCATAGAAATGGGATTTACAAAGAACACACTTTGCTTTCCTTTACCTGTTCACACAAAAAGGGGCGAAGTTGCGAATTGGAACTGCATCAGTGGGTACTTTAGCATTTTATGATTCCAGTTTAGTATAATGTTTTTCTCTCTTGGACATTATAATTTTTCTTCCATTTGTAAAGCGCTTTATAGTTTTCTAAGCAGTTTCACATAGAGTAGTTCATTTGTGGAACTAATAGCATTTACATGGGATCACGATATCCTAATAGAATTGTGCAATTTGCATAATGAGTTCAAGTTATTATTAAAATGAATGTCACTTATATAAGATTGAAGAGGATACCAGGCAGGTCAACAATCTTGAGGTAAGTTCTGACCATTTTGGATTCGTAAGAGGTAAGGGTAAGAAATAAAGTTACTTTGGGAGAATATGACCATAGATAAAATAAGTTTAAAAATGAAGGCTAAAGGCACAAAAGCGTCCTGTCCCTATTTCAGAATTTCCCTAAGAGTTGTGATAGAGATTGCCAATTTCCATTTTCCTCCTTTCCCCCCACCCCCTTACAAACATAGGCTCTGCATTACTGAATGTGCCAAGCTGAAAAACTGTATCACCCAGCCTCCCTCTCCCCTTCTTACTTTTATTAGCCTATGGTTTTTGCAACATGTCTGGACCCTCTGACTCCAAGGAGTTCTAGACAATGGAAGCTACACAGGAAGGATGGAGAAGAAAAAGATGGAAGGAATCTAAGACATCAGTGTTCTGTTGAACACCTCCATGCATTCTTCTATTATTCCAGTCATTGCTAGATGACTAACTTTGCTCAGGTACAATGGAACAGCTTGGTGAAGCCTGTAATGTATCTCTCCCTCCTAATCTACAGAATCTCTAATCATTACCTTCATATGGGAAACTAATAGGAACTTCTTCAGCACTCAAGGAAGTGCAACCCAGAATTGTCAGTGGTGGTATATGTAAAAAGTTAACACATGCTGGGAATAAAAAATAGTCTTTTCACAGTGGCTCACGCCTGTAATCCCAGCACTTTGGGAGGCAGAGGCGGGTGGATCACGAGGTCAAGGGATCGAAACCATCCTGGTCAACATGGTGAAACCCCGTCTCTACTAAAAATACACAAAGTTAGCTTGGCATGGTGGCACGTGCCTGTAATCCCAGCTACTCAGGAGGCTGAGGCAGGAGAATTGCCTGAACCCAGGAGGTTGCAGTGAGCTGAGATTGCGCCATTGCACTCCAGCCTGGGTAACAAGAGCGAAACTCCGTCTCAAAAAAAAAAAAAAATAGCCTTTTCAATGGGTGATGAAGCCAATAGATCCATGCTTTCCTTTTTCTTTCTTTCATTTCTCTTTTTCTTTCTTTTCTTTTCTTTTCTTTTCTTTTCTTTTCTTTTCTTTTCTTTCTTTCTTTCTTTCTTTCTTTCTTTCTTTCTTTCTTTCTTTCTTTCTTTCTCCCTTCCTCCCTTCCTTCCTTCCTTCCTTCCTTCCCTTCCTTCCCTCCCTCCCCCCCCCCTCTTTCTTTCTTTCTTTCTTTTCTCTTTCTTCCTTTCTTTCTTTCTTTCTTTCCTTTTTCTTTCTTCTTTTCTCTCTTTCTTTCTTTCTGTCTGTCAAAGGCTACTGATATGTATTTCCAAAGGCTTATCTGGCAGCCCATGGAACATTCCAAGAGGTGATCCATAGTGATTCTATATGAATAAAGCAAGATTGTCCAGTGTTGCCATTCCCTTCTCTGGAAATACACTCCCTCCATTTGCCATTCCTGCTCACAAATAAACATCCTACATACCAGCTTTGGTTTCAGGCTTGTCTTTCCACGGGTCCCAGGTGATGACAGATAAAATTATCCAAGAATAAACCAGTCCTGGATTGCCTAGCTCTGAGCTTTTCATTTTTAATATAATCAGGACAGTTCTTATAGTTTCCAGCTCAATAATTTGTCTATTGATAAATTATTAATATTTATGGTCATATTCTCCCAAAGTAACTTTTATTTATTTATTATAAATATTGACCTATTGATAATTAAACTGATAATTTATATATTTGTTCTGTTTTTATAATTTTTAGTTTTTGATTTATATTCTCTATTTAGTGATACTTCATTCTTGTATTTTCCTTTAGTCATTTAGACATAGTTTTCTTCAGTTCTTTGAGGATATTTTAAGTAGGTGGTTTAAAATCTGTTTAAAGTTCTTCTAATAAGGCCAGCTTCTGAGTTTCACCAGGTCAGTTACTATTGACTGGTATTTTTACTGTGTATGGGCCATACTTTCTCATATTTTTGTATCTCTTACAATTTTCAATATTATTTATATATATATATATATTTTATTTTTTATTTTTAAATATTTAATTGAAAAATAAAGACTGCATGTATTCAATGTGTACAATGTGATGATTTGATATATGCATACATTGTGTAATGATTATCACAATCAAATTAATTAACACATAAAATCATAAAATCAAATTTACATGTCCTCTTTGTGCAGGGGCCATGCTAATCTTCTCTGTATCATTCTGATTTTAGTATAGATGCTGCCAAAACAAGCACTAAATATTTAGTTAAATAATGTGGCAACTTTGGAAATCAAATTTTCTTCCACCTTTCCCAGGGTTGTTGCTGTTGCTGTTTGTTATTTTTGTGGATATTTGTTTAATTACTTTTCATGACTAATTCTGTGATATCTCTTTTCTCTGTCCTGTGTGGACAGTTAAGCTTATTGTCCAGTTGATGATTAAACTGAGATTTTCCTAAATGCATTGAACAAATAATTTTCCTTGCCTTCTCAAAGGGGGTTTTGTATGTATTGGGGTGTGTCTTAAATGCTTTGCAAGGAGTTTGCAACCTTGCCTTCCCTTTTATTCCTACTTGGGGAGATTCTCAAAGTTGGCTAAAGTTGAAAAATAGAGCCTTCTCAAGTATTTCTGGGCATTTCCTAGCCAACTGTATGTGGCATTATAGATTCCCAGGAATACGTCAGAACTTTAAAAATATCTCCTATGAACAACTCTTTTCCTGTGTTTTTTTTTCCCCTTGTACTTATTTTTTTGGTCAGCTTCTTATTTATCCCAGCTGTTAGCCCACCTCGAGCAGCTGCAATCCCACCTCGAGCAGCTGCAATGTTAAACAATTACCACTAATTGTTTGCAACAATGCCATGGAGAAATACCCTGCCAGAGTTCACCTGTTTTTAGAGGGTGAACTCTGAATATTAAAAAAAAAAAAAATTAAGAAAGTCCATACAAGTAGGGGTTTCCAGGGAACTTCCAGATAAGTCAGATAATGATAGTTCAGTGGCTGTAGGACTTTTAAGTAGTCCAAACCCAAAACCCCTCTGCCCCTACCAATGGCTATGAAGCTGCTGGTTTTGATGCCTACATTGATTGTGAGGACTTTTGTTTTAAAAGGTTCTGTACATCTAGAGAGAGAAAATAGTAGGACAACAGTCAGTTAAAATGCCACAGTTTCCTGTCCTTTCCTCAATCTTAACACAATGCTCTTATTGAATATATACACCTTGGGTTTGGTTAATTTTCAGAGTACTGCAAATATTTATTTTATCTTTTTTTGTCAGTGTTTTCACTGCTTTTGTAAAGGAATAAATTTTTGGACATCATTATTCTGTTATTCCTGCTGATGTTACCCTCTGAAATCAATCTTAATCCAAGAACAAAGGGGAAGTTAAGATATTCTCAGATAAAAGAAAGCTCAGAGAATTAGCCACCAGCAGAACTACCTTAAGAGAGTAGCAAAATGAAGTTCTCTTAACTAAATAAAACGCGCACACACACACACACACACACACACACACACACAGACACACACACTAAGAGAAGAACTTAACATTAGGAAGAAAACAAAACAGAGAACAAATATATAGATAAATAATATGGAAATGTCTTCTTTTTAGTTTTCTAAATTGTGTTTGTATAATGTGTTTCTCACTGTATGTAGACAAAACTTTTAAGATAGTTATATAATGAATGTGGCAGGATAAATGAGTGTAAAGTGAGATAATATTTCTATAGTTTGCTCAAACTGGTAAAATAATTACACTAGTGGACTCTGATAAATTACCCATATATTATATAATATCTGGAACCTTCATTAAAACTATGTATAGACAAAAACTCAAAACCACTGCATATAAATCAAAATGGAATCATAAAATGTGCACTGAATCCACAAAAAGACAGGACAAAGACACTAAAACCCAGACAGCAAACAGAAAATAAACAGAGAAAGAATTAAGCCCTAAAATACCAATAATTACATTAACTACGAAAGGACTAAATACACCAACTGAAAGATAGAGGTTAGCAGCATGGAGAAAAATAACAAGCCCTTCATATGTTGTACATAAGAAACGTGCCTCAAATACAGTTTTAAAGCAAAAGTATAGAAAAAAGGCATACCATGCAAACATTAATAAAAAGAAAGCAGGGGTGGCTATATTGATATCATATAAAATAGATTTCAAAGTGTATTAGTTCATGATCACATTGCTATAAAGAACTATCTGAGACTGGGTAATTTATAAAGAAGGGTTTAATTGGCTCATACTTCTGCAGGCTGTATAGGAAGCATGGCTGGAAAGGAAACTTAATCATGGTGGAAGGCAAGGGGGAAGCAGGCACATCTTACATGCTAGAGCATGAGAAAGAGAGCAAAGGACGAACTACACACTTTTAAACAACCAGATCTTGTGAGAATTCATTCACCATCATGAGAAAAGCAAGAAGCAAATACACCTCTATGATCCAGTCACCACCCACAGATGCCTTCCCCAACACTGAGGATTATAATTTGACACAGGGCCAAACCATATCACAAAGCAAAGAAAGATACTAGGGTTACAGAAGAACATTACAGAATGATTAATAGATCAATGCAATGAGAAGAAAGATATAACAATCCTAAATATGAATGCACCATAGAACAGAGCTGAAAATATGTGAAGCAGAAACGGATAGAACTGAAAGAAAAGTAGGCAACCCATAATTACAACTGGAGATTTCAACATTCCTCTTTCAACTATTGATAGTACAACTAGACAGGAAATGAGCAAGGTTATGGAAAATCTCAATAGCTTCTATTAGACATTTATAGATCATTTTACCAAAAGCAACAAAATATACTTTCTTTTCTAGTAGTTATGGAACATATATTAAGATAGGCCATATCCTGGATCATAAAACAAACATGAAAATATTCAAAATAATTGAGATCATATAAAGTGTGTTCTCTGACAACCATACAATTAAATGACAATCTAATAACAGAATTACAATGGTCAAATCACCACACTACTTGGAAACTAAACAATAAAATTTAAAATTATTCATGAATCAAATAGTAAGTCTCAAGGAGTTTTAAAAATACAGTGAAATAAATGAAATGAAAACATAGCATATTAAACTTTGTGAGACACAGAGTAGTGATGAGAAAAAAATTTATAGCACTAAACTCTTACATCAGAAAAAAAGAAAAATCTCAATAATCTAAACTTCCACCTTGAGAAAGCAGAAAAAAAAGAGCAATTAAACTCAAAGTAAGGAGAAGAAAGAAAATAATAAGAGCAGAGATCAAATAAAGTAAATATACATAGTTTGTGTGTGGTAGCTCATGCCTGTAATCCCATCACTTGTAGGCCAAGGTGGGAGGATTACTCGAATGTTGCTATGTCACCCAGGCTGGTCTTTAACTCTTTGGCTCTACAAAAATTTTTAAAAACTAAGTCAGACATGATGGTACACTGCTGTAGTCCCAGCTACTTCAGAGACTGAGATGGGAGGATCACTTGAGCTCAGGAGTTTCAGGCTGCAGTGAACTATGATTGTCCAGCCTAAGTGACAGAGCAAGACCCTGTCTCAAGAAAACAAACACCACCACCAACAACAAAAACTGATCAAATTGAGTCAAGAAAAGGTGAAAATCTTGCCTAGATCAGTAACAATAGAAAGGCAGTGAAAGCCCATCAACTGGATTTCTAATAATGGTAATTAAGAATAGATAATTTAAATTAAATATCTTGTTGAAAACCCTAAAAAAAATTCTGGTTGAAAAAATGAAAGCCCATATGTATATATTTCATCTGTCTATCTATCTATCTATCTATCAATCATCTATCTATCTATCTATCTATCTATCTATCTATCATCTATGGTTGAAGTCATTGAGGAGCTAGTAAGACACTGAGAATTTATCAGATTAAAACATAAGGCAAAAAAGAAATATAGAGAGGTAAGCCTAGCATATAGAGCCTGTTTTACTTCAGTGCATTTGCTTATACCTGATCCAGTAAACTGGAATTAGGACAAAAAAATGACAAAAAAATAAATAAATAAACAACTGGGAGCTATAAATAAATATATTTCAACATTTAAAGCAAATTCTGAAGTTTAACAATAAAATTACCACAATTGAGAACTCAATATATAGCTTTAATTACATATTAGGTACAGTTAAAATAATAATTAGTAAACTAGTGATTAGGTCAGATGGAAAATGTCTTAAGTGCAGCATACACAAATGAACTGAAGAAAAACAGAAGAGAGAATGAAAGATGCAAAATGGGAAGTTCTAACATACATGCTAAGGCATAGAAGAAAAGTAGAAAGAATATAAGAAAGAGAATGATATTGGAAGAGACAATGCCTACAATACAAATACAATCTATAAATGAGTTTCAAGTAAAACAATTGAAGAGAAGCTTAGACCTATCATGGTAAAACAACTGAGGACCCAGGACAAAAGAAATCTGAATGGCAGTTGAGCAAAAAGACAAATTACTTTGAAAAGAACCACAACCTGACTGACAGAAGACCTCTCAAGAGAATCAATGCAAGACAGAAAATATTGAAATAATATTTTTAAAGTGCTGAAAAATAAAACTGTTAAATATTCTTCTGAAATAAAAAAAATTTCAGAAAAGAATAAAATATTTATAACTAACTCAGTAAAAGAATTTCTAAAGAGCATTCTTTAAAGAAAATAAAATAATCTAGTATACAAAGAAAGGAGAAAAATTACCAAAAGTTAATCACTTGGATATATCTAAATGAATACTGACTGGAAAAAAATAAAATGACAAATGTTTCTTGAGGTTTCATACACATACATGCATACATGCACTTAGAATTAAAATCTACAAAATTGGCAGCTTATAAGACATGAGTGTGATAAATGGAGTTTAAGCATTTTGAGGCCCATGAAATGCCTAGGAAAAAGCGAATAAGCCATCTTATATAAAGTTTTTGTAAGTAAAAAAGTATATGTTCTAATTTCCTGTGTAATCACAAAATAAAGAAACAAAAGTAGTAGCCAAGATAATAAAAGAAAGAAATAAAATGGTTACAAAGAGCAACCTTCAATTAGCACAAACCTAGATAAAAAGAAGAAAAGACGTGAGACAAACTTATAAGAAATGGTGATTTTAGATTTAAATAATTGGCATTAGCTATTATATTACATATAGGTAGAATAAATGATAGAAAAAAGACAAAATTTCAGACAAAGTAAAAAAATAAAACCCAACCAAATGCAAATTT